TTCATTTAAAAAAAAAAAAAAAAAAAAAAAAAAAAAAAAAGTACAATTAAAAAAGTAAAAGATGAAATAAATTAACATGCATATTAAAAGCCCCTCCATGTACCTCTGTGGTGTACTTGAGGCTCTCCTTCCCGCAGATCTGCAGCAGACGCTCCTGCTGAATGTCATTGGCCAGCGGTTTGAAGCGGAACTTGGAGCATCTGGAGGTCAGCGGCTCAATGATCCTGTAGAGACAGCAGCAGTTAGTCTGTGCAGCAGCAGAGGCTCATGGGATTGCGTGGTGGCTCACACTGACCGGCTGACGTAGTTGCAGATGAGGCAGAAGCGCGTGGTTCGAGACTCTTTCTCCATGGTGCGTCTGAGAGCCGCCTGAGCCGCGCCGGTCATGGAGTCCGCCTCGTCCAGGATGATGATCTTAAACGGAGGACAGGGCTTCCCGCTGCGGGTCAGAGAGCAACACGCGCTCAGAAACCACTGCGTTCGGTCAGTGTGAGACTAGGGCTGGCTCCATAACCGATCCTAGCGCAGTTTTTATTTGAAGTCAGTGTTGAATCTCAATCTCAATGTGTGTTGACCTGATCATCACTCTTTTGTGTGTTACACACAATCTACTAAATATAGACAACTTCATTGTGAAGAAAAACAACAAATGTAAAAAATAATAATACATGATCATAATCTATGACAAAAAAACTATTATGAATTAGGTTAGAGGATAATTCAGCAGTAAAAGTTACTGTAGAAAAATCATGAGTGCACAATTTTATTAGTGCTGGGGAATGATTAAATCACATCCAAATAAAAGTTTTTGTTTATATAATGTACTGTGTATATTTATTATGTATATATAAAGACACACATAAAGTACATATTGAAAATATTTACATGTATATATTTATATTATATATTTAATATAGTGCTGTCAAACGATTAATCGCATCCAAAATAAAAGATTTCGTTTACATAATATATGTGTGTGTACTGTGTATATTTATTATGTATAAATACAAACAATTACAGCATATATTTTGAAAATATTTACATGTATATATATTTATAAATTTATTTCATTATATTTTATATTATATATAAATATATTTAATATATAAACATAACATTTTTCTTAAATATATACATGCATGTGTGTGTATTTATATATACACAGTACACGCACACATATATTATGTACACAAAAACTTTTATTTTGGATATGATTAATCCTGATTGCTTCAAGCAATCTTAGGTATATTTTATAAAGAAAATATATTTGTATAAAGCGGATAGTTCCGGTGCTTGATTCTGATTGGCTGAGCCGCGTTCAAAGCTGTTGTAAATTACTCTACAAAGTAACACACCTTTGTTTACGTTTGTGTGTTGCTCGGCAACCACTTTGTTGCAACCACAACTGTTTCTGAGGAACTACATTGTTTGGTGGAAGAATACTGTTTTTATTAATATCATTACACTTTATTTGTTCTGTTTAACTCCGCTTCGCGTCGTACTTAACAACGCCCCTTAGCTGTTATAAATTCACTGTAAACCACGGCTTCACGGGGCTTATTGCTTTAATAATGCAATGCTAATCGACATAGCCCTTTATCACTGTATATAATACTATCATATAATACTATCATTCTAACAGTTGTATTTATTTATGCTTTTGCTAATTGATTTGTTAGTTCTTATTTTATTACTGACTGTTTACTTGTCTTTAACACTTTAATATTTTAAATGTATATTAGTCTAGTTGTGTTTACGGTGGTATTTTTGTTAAAAGCATAGGCAAAAGTTCCTCTTGTAGGCCTGAGTGTTCTGTAGGCTGCTGATTTGTGCTCGTGTTATTCAGCTGCAACAGAACGCTTCGTAAAAACACAGAATAAATGTTTGACTTATTTTTATCTTATTGGAATGGAAACTAGGAATCTCTAAAATTCAAATGATACCCATCGCTACGAAGCGTGACTCACTCGAGGCGTGTTCCGGCTGCAGTCAGCTGGGCGAATCTCTTCACCTTCTCTCGGACCACCTGTATCCCTCGTTCATCAGACGCATTCAGCTCCAGGACTCTCTGACGGTACAGCTCCGGTCTGAACACACACACACACGATCATGTCAACACACACACACACACACTCACAATCATGTCAACACACACACACACACACAGAGACACACACACACACACACACACACACACACACTCACGATCATGTCAACACACACACACACACAGAGACACACACACACACACACACACACACACACACTCACGATCATGTCAACACACACACACACACAGAGACACACACACACACACACACACGAGCAGGTCAACACACACACACACACACACACGTTTCTGAATCAGCATCAGCAGGCCTGTCGCAATAATCAATATATCGACTTATCGCACAATATATGTACATGACCTCAATCATTTTTGGTGACGCAATATATCGCCCATTATATTTACATAAAAATTAATGTCACCATGTTTTCTGCATTCATCTCACGCCTGTGTCTTTCGCAGCTTCTCGTTCAAATTTAAAAACGCTTCTACAAACAGCTTCATCTGCAGATATGGCCTTGTTTAGGGATCTGACGCACATCTGAGTGCTGAGTAGTGCTTGTGTTTTTCAGCAATAGTGTGCAGCTTTCATTTACAGAGAAATGAAGGTCAGGGAAAAATCTGTAAGTTCTTTGTGCATTTTTATTTTTTCTACTTGTTACTTTGAATTTTTTGTTAGAAAATGTTTTTAGTGCTATCAAACGATTAATCGGAAAATAAAAGTTTTTGTTTACATAATATATGTGTGTTCTGTGTATGTTTATATAAATACACACACATACAGTATATATTTCAGAAATTTTTTTATGTTTATTTATTAAATATATTTATTTATAATATAAATTATATGAATATAAAAATAGACATGTAAATATTTTCAAAATATATACTGTATGTGTGTGTATTTATATAAACATAATATACACAGAACACACATATTATGCGAACAAAAACTTTTATTTTGTATGCGATTAATCGTTTGACAGCACTACTATTTATTCAAGCTTTTTTTAAGGTATCTAATATTTTGATACTTAATTCCCATGACCTAAATATTCTTAAAAATTAAAAGTTTGTTGTCATTTGGAAGTGTGTAGGCCTTCTTGCATTATTATGCTGTTACATTATGATTATATATTCAGTGGCATAAATGACAATAAATTTGCTTATCGCAATTATTTCTGGGGCGATGTATCGCACAACAAAACGTTGTTATCGTCAGGAACACAGCGGGAGATCTTACCCATAAAGCTCTCTGGCGGCCGCTAGGATGGTGGACGTCTTTCCGGTTCCAGGAGGGCCATAAAACAGCAGGTTGGGCAGCTGCAACGACACTTTAACATCACTGTACAGTATATATTTATTCAATGCCATGTCAGCATCTTAGGTTATAACAAATACAATAAAATCCAGCAAACAAGTTATATCACACAAGATTTTTTACATTAACGTATCATACAAATTCTAAAACTTTTCCTGGCAAAATAATACTAAATAAATCTTTAAGCGAGTTCACTTCGTAAAAGAGTTTTCTACATACATTAAAATGTTTGACAGAAAGGGGAATCTTGCAGAACATGCATTGAATAGAGTCTTCACCTTTAGTCAGTCTTCGACATCTGCTAAATAACACGATCAAATCTAGTTTTAAAGGATATTAAAAGTCTGTTTGAAATCTCCGGATGGATTTCACTACTGTACTCATTCAGCACAGATCGTTTCAATGCAGCTTTACAGAGATGACCGGGAAAATAAGAGAATCAAGACAGACTAGTCATCATTCAGATCAGTTCAATAACTGTGTAGAGTTGATCATTTATGAAATGAGTTGAACTACAGAAGAAAGCAGACATTATTCAGATAAATTTTTGGTCTCAGTTGGTGTCAGTGAAGTCAAATCAATTAATATTTAGAATTACTTTTTATTTTGATATTTTCAGTTTTCATATTACTTAATTTTAGGCATTTTGTTGTTGTTTTTTTGTGCTTAATTCAGTTTTAGTACTACAGCTTGAATTAAAAGTCTACATTTTGCCTCGGCAACTAAATAAAATAGCGAACAATTCAAGTTCTATTAATAATACTTCAACTTAAAACAAAAATTGTAACTGTCTTGGCACATAATTGAAATAAATTTAAATTTTTGATAATTTTTCAGCACTTTTTGTTCTTATATTTTCCATTTTCATTTTAAAATTAGTTAAAGTTTTAGTTATTTTGTTGTGTGTGTGTATGTTTTTGATATCCGTTTTTTAATAAATTTAGTACTTAAACATAAAAATTAGAAGTTTTGCCTCGGCAACTGATTGCAATAAAATAAGTTTTACGTTTTTTATATTTTGTTTTAGTAATTTCAGTACTTCAAGTTCAACTAAATTAAAATTTAGACATTTGACTTGGCAACTAATTGAAATAAAATAAGTTTTTTTTTTAATACTGTGTTTTAGTACTTAAAGGGGTCATATGATGCGATTTCAATTGTTCCTTTCTCTTTGGAGTGTTACAAGCTCTTGGTGCATAAAGAAGATCTGTAAAGTTGTAAAGACTAAAGTCTCAAATCCAAAGAGATATTCTTTATAAAAGTTAAGAGTTAGCCACACCTACCTAAAACGCCTCGTTCGAACACGCCCCCACATATCTACCTCACTATGTGGAAATTAGGGATGTATGTGGAAAATAATGTGTTTTTTTAACTTTAAACCGCATAAACACATTTCATTACACCAAATACACAAAATAATGTTCTTTTTAGCAGCATCATATGACCCCTTTAAACTAAAAAGTAGAAATTTTGCCTTGGCAACTAATTATAATACATAAATATATATTTTATTTATGTTAATGGTTATTTTATTTCAATTGTTGTAAATATGTGTGCTTGTTTTTTTTAAATATATATTTAGTGTATGATGACAGAGAGGAAGGAGCATAGCTCTTTTGGGATCAGGCTGCTGATTGGTTGTGAAATGTCATGTGATCACCGAGCGTCACGCACATCAGCGCCCTCTAGAGACTTCTTCAGCACCGCCACCACCTCCTCCTGGAAGGCCACTTCATCCACACACTTCGGCCTGCTGGAGAGAGCAGAGAAACACCCATCAAACCAGAAATACAGTACGAAACACACACCGGAGCCAAAACACAGGCTACACACACGACTAGTCAGATGTTTCTGAACAGTAAGATTTCTGATGCTTTTTAAAGAATTCTCTTCTGCTCACCAAGCCTGCATTTATTTGATCCAAAGTACAGCAAAAACGGTAAAAATTCGATTTTTTTTTTTTTACTATTTAAAAACAGTTTTCTATGTGAATATCTGTTAAAATGTAATTTATTTCTGTGATGCGCAGCTGTATTTTCAGCATCATTACTCCAGTCTTCAGTGTCACATGATCTTCAGAAATCATTCTAATATGCTGATTTGCTGCTCAAGAAACATCTCTGATTATTATCAATGTTGAAAACAGCAGAGTAGAATTTTTTCAGGTTTCTTTGATGAATAGAACGTTCAGAAGTGTCTGAAATAGAAATCTTCTGTAACATTATAAATGTCTCTATCATCACTTTTGATCAATTTAAAGCATCCTTGCTGAATAAAAGTATTATTTTCTATAATTTCCCCCAAAAAAACAAAAAAAAAACATTATACTGACTCCAAGCTTTTGAATGGTATATGTATAATGCTACAAAAGCTTTTTATTTTCAGATAAATGCTGATCTTTGGATCTTTCTATTCATCAAAGAATCCTGAAAACATATTCACATAGAAAACAGTTATTTTAAATAGTAAAAATATTTCACATTTTTACTGCTCTTGCTGTATTTCTGATCAAATAAATGCAGGCTCGGTGAGCAGAAGAGACTTCTTTAAAACACACTAAAATGTGTTTTAAAGTGTGTATATGTGCAGATATGATGAAGCCTCACTATTTCTCCACCCAGGGCACGGCCTTCTGCTTCTTCTCTCCAGCTGATGAAGAGGAGGATGAGGATGCTTTCTGAGCTTTAACACTCTGTGACGAAGACCCTTTCAAAAACGCCTGCATTTCTCCTCCTGTCAACAACACAAACACACGCTTCAGATAAAAAAAAAAAAACTCTTATTTATTAGTAATTATGATATTTATTGATGATATTTTTCATTGTGATTATTTATCTGGACTTCATCGTCGTCATTATAGTCAGAATTCATCTCGTATCTCCATTCAGTCGCTGTTTCCGTCCACAAACGCAAAACTATCGTTTGTTAGACGCCCTCACCTGACGCTGACGCGAAGAGAAATCAGAATAAATCACTTTATGATCAAATAAACGCGAATCAAACTCTTCTGGGGTTGTTGACAGTCCGCGAGCCGCGTCGGATTCCCGCCAGATGCGCGGATGATGACGTCGGCACGTTTACGTCACTGGCGCGCGCCGCTGACGTGAGTGACAGCGGCTCGTGATCACGTGATCACGCTGAGGGTTTCGATCATATGACGCTTGTTTATAATCATAATAACAACATTAATATTATTCGTAATGCTAGGAATATTTATTTCGAAGCCAAATGATCGTTCCGTGTTTATAAAATGCATTATTTTTGGACTAACCAAACTCGACCTAAAAAGTTGATTTCATTTTTTTTGTATAGGCTTTTTACCATAGACTGTATAAAAACAGCTTTTTACTAAAGATATTATTACAAAAGAATAGTGAGCACTTACTTCTGCTAATGAAGAAACCTTGGGAGGAAGTGACAGTGACCTAGAACAAGGGTTTTGAAATAAATAAATATAAATAAATAAGAAATAAATAAAAAAAATAATTAAATTACTACAACAAATGATTAAATTATAATAACAGTAAAATAAATGAATAGATTGAAATAAAAAAATAAATAAAATAAAAATGAATAGATTAAAATAAAAATAATAAAAAGCAAATTAAAGATATAAAGTGTAATAACACAATAGCTAACTAAATATATTCAAATTAATTAAATAAACAAAGATTGAAATTGTTAAATTGATAAATTATGAAATATATTTTAAAAATAAATTATACTATAGTAAGAAAATGTATAATAAAAGATTAAAATAAAATAAATGCATTGAAATAAATAAAATGTATTTATTTTAACAATTTGTGTTAAAATAAATAAATTATAATAATTAAATAAATAATACAAATATTAAAATAAATTAAATTAAAGATAAAACGGATACAATAAAAATTTAAATAATATTTTATTAAATAAAAGTAACTAATTATATTAGAAAATAAATTTGTGATAAAAATAAAATGAATAGATTAAAATAAATCAAAACTGATTAAAATTCATTTAAGAGTTAGGTTACAATAAGCACATAAATAATACATATAACAGTACAGTACTATAGGAGTAGAAAACAACCTTCTTCGTAGCATATTAGATTAAATGTGTTGCAGTATTGTTCTATATTCCTGCTGAGGGGAGCGATCTGCGATCGGCGTCCCTGCGCTCCGGTAGTTTTGTCTGACGTCATTACGTCATCACACTCGGAGCAGTTTCACGGCAGAGATAAAGCGAATTTAAAAAACTAAAAATCAGTGTCGTATTTTAAATCAAAATCACGGAGTGTATCCATACAATTGTAATTTATAAAAAAAAAAGCACAGGTGTCAAACTCTAAGCGTGTTCTTTCTAATGTATATTTCATATTTCACATTATTATACTCTCTAAATGTGATATATATTGTTATATCTATTGTTTTATACTTATTACGCTGGATTTTTCCTGCTGACGGAGTGATCGGCGATCTGTTAGTTTGCCTGCGCCGCCAGTGCGTCATTGCGTCATCACACGCACAGTGTTTTTGCTTCGTCTCTTTCAAACCGCGGAGAGACTCTTGCGTTTACACCCTCGGTTTTTTCCTCTCGGTTTGGACTTTCGCGCTTCATCCGATGCTCGAGCGCTCGTGGTGGATCTCGAGGAGCGGCGCGAGGCTCGGTGACGCGGGGCGCGGCGAAAGCGGAGAGTTTTCTGAGGCGTTTTATTGCGCATGTTCATGAACCGCCCGAACGATCGCGGATCAATAAAACACCGAGATCTGATCGAAACACGGCGGAACCCGACAAACCGATCCGCTCTGTGACTGGAGTCCCAGCGAGCCGAGTCTGATCGCGCCGATCGATACCTGATCGATATCTGAGGAGATGCGCGCGCACTGATCGCCTCAGGGATCGATAGCTGATCGATAACACATGCTGGAGCTCCGCTGCTGTCTGGAGGATGCGATGGTCACATTAGGCAGGTGTGCTCTTCCTCCTCCTCGGATCAGGTGGATGTGAGACACACACACACACACACACACACACATCATGCAGGCTGCGCCCTTCCAGTATGATTTCTACAGTGAGGAGAACGCGCCCAAATGGAGAGGACTGCTGGTGCCGTCACTCAACAAGGTGAGACAGCTGTCAATCAATCAATCAACATACACGACATCCGTTATATCGGTTCATGCATTCCCCGGGATTCGGACCCCCGACCTTGATGTTGCGAGCGCAGGGTAAACATGACAGACTCGTTTATTTGATCAGGCCTAGTGCTGATACCGATATCAGAAGATTGAGTGACCGATATATGTGACCCTGGAGCACAAAACCAGTCAGAAGAGTCCAATTTTTGAAAGCTTTCCATTGATGTATGGTTTGTTAGGATAGGACAATATTTGAAAATCTGGAATCTGAGGGTGCAAAAAAATCTAAATATTGAGAAAATCATCTTTAAAGTTGTTCAAATGAAGTTCTTAGCAATGCATATTACTAATCAAAAATTAAGTTTTGATATATTTACGGTAGGAGATTTACAAAATATCTTCATGGAACATGATCTTTACTTAATATCCTAATGATTTTTGGCATAAAATAAAAATGTATAATTTTGACCCATACAATGTATTGTTGGCTATTGCTACAAATATACCCCAGCGACTTAACACTGCTTTTGTGCTGCAGGCTCACAATTTTATCGATTCTAGTTTAGATTCCAATAAGATAAAAATAAGTCAAACATTTATTCTGTGTTTTTACGAAGCGTTCTGTTGCAGCTGAATAACACGAGCACAAATCAGCAGCCTACAGAACACTCAGGCCTACAAGAGGAACTTTTGCCTATGCTTTTAACAAAAATACCACCGCAAACACAACTAGACTAATATAAATGTAAAATATTACAGTGTTAAAGACAAGTAAACAGTCAGTAATATAATAAGAACTAACAAATCAATTAGCAAAAGCATAAATACAACTGTTACTGAACCGAATTTCAGGTACAGAACTAATTAAAAGTTTAAACAGTCATGTTTCTTTTGCTCTTTCATTAACATTAATGACAGGCAGCGTGTTTATTAGGCTGCTGTCTCTTTAACACCGCACGCACGCAGATCTAAAAAATACTGTACACAAGCGTTTACTTTCTCATCTGTTTACGTTCACTTAAGACAAAAATGGCTGTGTTTATGATGATATACTGATGTAATTTTCTGCATACTGGTCGCTAAAGATTAGTTTAATGTTTTAAATCACATTAAAATGTGAACGCAGGAATCGTTAAGCAGAATCGGTTCTAGAATGGAATCGGTTTTTGATACCCAACCAAGCGTTTTCTTTCTCATCTGTTTACGTTCACTTAAGACAAAAATGGCTGTGTTTATGATGATATACTGATGTAATTTTCTGCATACTGGTCGCTAAAGATTAGTTTAATGTTTTAAATCACATTAAAATGTGAACGCAGGAATCGTTAAGCAGAATCGGTTCTAGAATGGAATCGGTTTTTGATACCCAACCCAACCGATATAATGAGATGCACACAAAACTGATGATCGGTATCGGGATTGTACCCAATAATATTTACTCAAAATATTGCGCTCTATCCATTCAAACCGTCAGTAGATTTTAAAATTAGACAGAATGACGTGCTGATAACCGATAATCACTAATGTAATACAGTTACAGAGCTTTTGCGGGTTTTCAAAACATCTTAATTTGCCTTTAAAAGTCTTAAATCAGAGCAGAAAGTCAAATTCGTAAATCGTGGCATTAAATGTTGCATGCGCTGCAAAAAAAATCTGATGTTTCTGTTTCGTTTCCCAGTGCAAATATCTGAACATGCTTAAGTTGAGACACGTTTACCGGAGATGCACATGTAAAAAGTCTTGAGGAATTGAACAGAATGAACAAATGTCTGTCATTGACGAATGAAAAAAAACTTAAGTTGATTTTAATGCTGCGCTTATTGTCAGATATTTGTTCTTAGAGCCAGACGATGATATCAGTACATTTATAACAATATAAAGCAGTTGAGATTTACTGTATATAGTATCAGTTTACGAGAGTTAATGTATGAATGCACATAAAATTGGATATAATTATATATGCAACTTTGTATAAAAAGCTGGGTGGTGATGTAGTTACATTTTGTGATGAAATAATAAATCACGCAGTTGGGATTTGCTATATAGTAAGTTGGATAGTTGGAAATTATTAATTTGTTATGTGGTGATATTGAGACTTGTGTCATTCTAACAAGCCTAATTACTATTTGGTGACGTGTATTGCTGGTAAATGATGCATATATAAATGACGGAATATATGCACAATGATTTGAGGAATGTCTTATCGATGCATATCCGTTGAAAAGATTGTCAGATGTTGAAATGGCTCAAGCTGATGATCTCACATTGGCTGACTATCGTGTGAATATGGGCCTGTCACTACTAATGATGATCTGTTGTGCATGAGATCTGCTGCGTCTGTGTTCATGCTCAGATTTACAGCTGCTGATCTCGTGAGGCTCTCTGCTGTGCGCCGATCCAAAATGGCGGCGCTCTGGATGCAGTTTCAGCTCGCGCTCACTGTGCTTGGCAGCTTCTTGACGTTTCTTGCTGCTTTCTGTGACGCTGAATCCATAGCAACAGCAAAAGGCTGCATATTTGCCCTCATGCGAAATCCATCAAGACGTTTTTAACTAAAACACATAGAGTCCATAATTCATAATAACGCTTCCTCCAGTGAAAAAGTGCATCTGCTGTTTTCTCTCGCATCAAAATCCAGCCACATATTAGTTTAGAACTGTTTAAACACTGCTTGATCTGTGCAGATTTCTCTCCTGATTCAGACCAGAACACTTTTTCACTGGAGGAAGAGTTATTATGGATTATGGACTCTATGTATTTTAGTTAAAAGCATCTTAATGCTGGATTTGTTTCAGCTTTTGTCTTCTCCAGATGTTAACTGATGGACTGGAGTGCTGTGGATTACTTGTGGATTATTGTGATGTTTTTATCAGCTCTTTGGACTCTCATTCTGACGGCACCCATTCACTGCAGAGCATCCATTGCTGAGACACTGATGCAGTGCTACATTTCTACAAACCTGATGAAGAAACAAACTCATCCTGATCTCAGATGAACTGAGGATAGATTTTTTAATTTTTTAAGTGTGCTGTTCCTTTAATTTGTTGATCACATGATCCTTGATCTCAGCGTCATGTGATGTGTTGACCTGGTCAATCAGCTGATATCTGGCCTCGTTAAGATCATCAGCAGTTGCTAAACGTGTCTGATCAACAGAAGAGTGTCTGTTCTGATGTTTATTGACAGTCAGTGGATGATGCTCATCTTCAGTTTTTAGCTACGGTTTAGTGTGCGTCTCATTTATTGTTATTGAGTTGAATTTGGAGGTTTTGTAATGAAGATTTTTTAAAGACGGCTCATCAAGGCTGCATTTATTTGATCAAAAATATAGTAAAACCAGTGAAACATTATTACAAATTAAAACAGCTGTGTGAATCTCTGTTAAACTGTAATGTATTTCTGTGATCAAAGCTGTATTTTCAGCATCATTACTCCAGTCTTCAGTGTCACATGATTAGGGTTCGACCAATATGTTTTTCAGGGCGATGCAGATACTGATTATTAAGTAGACCAATAACCGATATTTTGAACCGATATATATGTCTGGTGTAAAAATTATAATTAGTGTCAAAATTAAGAATAACAAGGGTTCTGAGCACCCTGCATAAACATTTTGTAAAACTTGAAGTAAACAACAAAATAAATAAATGTAATAATTCCCTGAAGATTTCTAAGCTAATACAATGTATGTGTAATAGCATAACCTCTCATAATTCCTCATTAATTATTTTCTGATGGCTAAAACATAACCTACAATAGTAGAGGTGACTATTCAATTCATCATCTAATGCACATCAGTGGATTAACTTAAAAAAGCAATGTATATAATAAGGCAATTTCTATTAGTTTTAATTTTCAGTACTGTGCAAATGAAGGCATAAAACATTAATTTAATTTATCTTTTAATCAAATGAGAGTTAAACATTATTTTTTGGCAAACAAAGGGGTTTACTATTAAAATTAAAACATGGAAGGAATAGCAGATTGTGTGATTATTCTTTTAAACTAACGTTGTAATAAAC